AGCTTTCATAGTTCTCTAGATCAGGAGATGCACATTTTATCTAAAAGCGAACGATATGTTTTGTGTAGAGAATTGAATAGGGAACCCTTTTTCAAAGAAGCTAAGGACAGGTGACGAAAACTGAAAAAACTATTAAGGAGATACTGAGACCGCCATTTATTCGGCTACATACGTTAGTTTCTATAATTACATAATCTCAGATGTATTGTTGAAGGGAAAGAATACGTTTGAAGACGGTAGAAGGTGCAAAATCTTTTTTTGGTGGCGTTTAGTATTTAAATTTTTTCTCACTTTTCTCTTTTTCTAACGGGAAAATGAACAACCACGTTAGCATGTTGAAAACATGCAGAAATAATGCTTGGCATTTTTTGTATCGCATCTTATTCTTACTATATTATTTAGATTCTGTTAATCATAAACGAGAAGAAGCTAATCGAAAACGGGAAACAGAAATGGACAATGCGATTAAAATATGGGAGAAAACAGATCGTGATGAGTTCAAACGTCGAGTGGAGAATAAAACGGTAAATATATTTTGACATTAATTTTAATATTATAATTTAAAGTGTTAAATTATTTTTAGAATGAACTTATTCAAATATGGGAAAATGAGATTTTAGCTGAACGTATATTATTAAATGAACAACGAAAAAATGAAAATGTCACGGGAATAATATGTTGTAAAAAATGTAATCATGAACTAGGTGAAATAGCATGGTTGAAACGTCGAAATACTGCATATTTTATTACAAACGAAAATTTTTTCAAAAAAACAACTGTTTCAGCAACACCATTTACTAGAGTACAAGAAATTTTATTTAAAGGTACATTTCTCCAACGAGGAAATAAATCTTTTGAGGTAATAAATCGATTTCGATTTGAGACTTTTTTAATAGATACGTCCTAGTGTGTAATGAAAGACTCTAACTTGATTTGAACTCATGGTGCTTCCCTATTGAGACAGAGAAATTTTAATTGGTTTTCCAGCGAAATAACCGAATTTCAAGCAAAATCCGACTTTCGAATTTTACGCTCAAACTTGCCACATATGTAGTCTATGACTGGAGTAGCAAAATTCCCTTACTTCTGGCCGATGTTTTTTCTTCGGGAGATATGAAGTTTTGAAAAACTGCATTTTTCGAGAATTTAAGACGGAATTTTCAAAACTTAATTTCTTCACGAAATAAGTTTGAACGGAAAGTTTTTCTAAAGACTAGCCTAGTCACTACCAGTGTGGCAAGCCTGAAGTGAGAAAACCAAAGCTGAGGTTTGCTCAAAAATAGCCGAAAAACTACTAAAAATTCGATATAACGGAATGGAAGAGTTATGGGACCGAGCCGTTGATAGCGTTTGTTAGCCCAGATGATTCTGCTTCCAGTCCTACAAAAAGAGCTCAAAACAAGTTTTCGATATAAGTTTGGCAGGGAGGGAAGGTTCGTTATAACTCAAAAGAAATGTCTCATCGTTTTTGCTTACTGATAACCTAAAAAAAAGTCATCAACTTTTCAGAATGAGCAAATCTTTTTACCAGGTGAGTAACTGATTATAAACGAGGGAGGGAAATTTCCCCACCTAATCGAGAACGCTGATCAAAAGATGAATTTTCTCGCAAAAATTTAAAATATTCGTAGCTGATCCTCAAAGATCCATGGGCACGGATCAAGCCAGATTCTTTCGCTATACGCACTAGAACCTATTTACACAAAAATAGTCTCAAGCCGAAATCGATTTATCATTTCAAAAGATTCCCTCGCAAGGCTGTGCTTTTTTACTTTCCATTCATTTTTTGCATCTAGGTGATGTTAAGTGTCAATGCGGATCGAAGCTTGGTGGTTTTCAGAAATATTTAGATAGACGAGATCTTGGTGATATGTGTGCACTCGCTTGCAAAAATGTTAAATTTCGACGCGATAATGAAACACAATATTTTATGATTCCAAAATGGACAGCTGTTCGAGAGTTTTATGTACCCTTTATTGAGGAATTGTGATAATGTTTTTATTCATATATTCACTTATACTAAAGGTTTGTATTCCACTAATATAACTGTAATTCTACAGTTTTTGTATTGAGATAATCGTCTTTTGATAAATGAAATTGTGATATTTCTGGATTAATTTCCTTCCATTTAGATTTAGTTCAAACTTTACCACATTGTAGAGGACACTTCAAAATATATATGAAAAGAGTCTGTAGGTCCGCGGATTTGTGGTTTTTTCTAAAAAAAATATTTCTAAGTTTTTTTGGCTGCTTTTGCCCTCATTTTTTAAAATTCAAATAAAAATTTTACTTTTCAGTTTGTAACCAGTTAATAGAGCGCATCGAGATGCATATGCGAAAAGATTGTCATCGTTCTTGAACGAGGTTTGGCGGCTAAATTCAGTTTTAAGTTTGAGAATGAGTTGTGGGAGCTAAACGTGTGCATTTTCGAGATCTTGCCTACAGTGTCTCTGCGGAGATGCATTGTGGCGCCGAAGTGTGAGTGTAGAAGTTGTGTATCATGTTTTTTTCTATTATATAATACTTTGCTGCGGATAAATTTCTTAACGTCGGTCTTTAAAGTTGAAAACAGAACGGAAAAGAATGTTCATCGTAATAGGGGAAGTTAATTTTCTGTTAATAATACCTCTTCCTGTAGGGTACTTCCGCACAGATCCGCCCAGTATTACATGAGTTAAAAGCCGGAAGGTTTGACTGCATGCAATCGCTAGCCCTACTAAAAGTGTGTAAGACCTCTTGTCGCCTCATGGAAAAGTTATTTCGAACACGGTTTTTCCTCAGCCATAAGTTCTAAATCAAAGCGCTTTTAGAAGTGCCAGAACAGCGAAAATCCGATCTTATCTAATATTATAAAGCGTTCTCATACTGCTCGCTGGAAAGAGCATACAAAGTTGCATATTTCTATCAACAAATGAGATTTTCTTCTCTGATATTCCGAAAGCATTTTTGACTGAAGAACCTGAACTGCATTAGCAGATATCACTCGTTCTATAGCGTGTTTGATGAGCTCAATATCTAACAAAACATAACTTGGTATTTTTAAAATCGATACTTTTTCTCGTTCCTGACACTAGCCAGATGATAGGATTTTAACAGGATTTCTAGAAAACCGTCACGTGACAAGCCACCCTGCCAAAGTCAATATCCTGCGTCTTTTGCAGCACTAGTCGCGTAGTATGTAGGATACCAAGATCTCGAAGAGCTGACGTGTAGTTTTCGACAGAGGAGGCCGAGAAGGGCCAAAGTAGGTCTCATGCCTGCGCTTACCGTGAACAAGCAGAAAGTACTACAAACTTCATCAATGCGCCATACAAACAAACTTGGAAGCCGCTTTCATTTGAATATAAATAAAGTTATGTTTTGTTAGATGTTGAGCTCGTGAAACACGCTATAGAACGAGTGATATCTGCTAATGCAGATAAGGTCCTTCACTCATAAAATGCTTTCGGAATATCAGAGAAGAAAATCTCATTTGTTGATAGAAATATGCAACTTTGTATGCTCTTTCCAGCGAGCAGTATGAAAACGCTTGATAATATTAGATAAGATCGGATTTTCGCTGTTCTTGCACCCCTAAAAACGCTTTGATTTAGAACTTATGGCTGAGGAAAAACCGTGTTCGTCAACTTTTCCATGAGACGACAGGAGGTCTTACACACTTTTAGTAGGGCTATCGATTGCATACAGTCAAACCTTCCCGGCTTTTAGCTCATTTAATACTGGGCGGACCTGTGTGAAAGTACCCTGTAACGCCAAGCAGTATTATTCGGATTTCATCTGGATCATTTGGAATTCGTCATGCTCTTTAGTTGGTGACTGAGGCACATCAGTCTGGAAGTTAGAATACATCATTTCAAACTTGCTCTACTAATAATCATGTGTTCGGTCGTGTATTCTAGTTATGTTTGAAGGTAGAAAGAACACGGAATGAATAAAATTTGCAGATTTCCGGCATAATCTCCCTGTACAAACTTTCAGTCTTTGTACTTCCTCTTTCAGAGGAATTCAGGAGAAGAGTTACACTTTAGACCCAAGGTCTGCGCTGATAAGNGAGGAGTTACACAAAACAATAAAGATACAAAAGGGTTGTACAGATAAAAAAGGTTATCAGCGCAGACCTTGGGTCTAAAGTGTAACTCTTCCCTTTAAACGTGATGGACTAAGGTGAGGCTGGATGAAAGCTATGCCTTGAATGTGCACATTTACATTAATTTGTTTTAATTTTATTAAGATTCCGGTTAGCTTGTCAAAAAAATTTTTAGATTTACACGCTAGTGCATTTCTCTACAAGGGTGGTAAAATTTACAATGGGACGATGGAATTTGTTGTCTTAATAGTT